TCTTCTTCTTCAGCAGCCTCATCTTCAGAGACTTCAGTAGCCTTATCTTCAGCAGCCTCTTCTTCAGAGACTTCAGCCTTATCTTCAGAGACTTCGGCAGCCTCTTCTTCAGAGACTTCAGCAGCCTCTTCTTTAGAGACTTTAGTAGCCTTATCTTCAGAGACTTCAGCAGCCTCTTCTTTAGTAACTTTGGCAGCTTCTTCTGCTTCTTCTTCAGCAGCCTCTTCTTCTTCTTCTTCAGGAGCCTCATCTTCAGAGACTTCAGCAGCCTCTTCTTCAGCAGCCTCTTCTTCAGAGACTTCAGCATCATCTTCAGAGACTTCAGCAGCCCCTTCTTCTAAGCCTTAATTAGCTTCAGAGACTTCAGCAGTATCTATGGCATAATTGCGGCCTATAAGGTTAAGCTTTAGGCTACGAACACAGATAATGCTCAGACAGTTCCTCTACTGTGGAGTGATCTAGTTTAACTAATATACCCAGCTTTGCTACTTTATCCTCAAGCACAGTCGTTCCGTCCAGCAACGAGGCTACTAGTACCAGTACAACTACTGACTAACTCATGCAGTTTAGTTTGGAATAGAAATAACTCGTTCTATAAATATTCTCTTAAGGTTAATAACCTTGAATTGTACCCTAATTTACCTTCCTTTTTATAAATATTAAATTTAACCTTTTTACTGGGGTTTATATTAAAACAGCCCAGCTTATATAGTTTTATAGTAAAACAGTTTCCTATTACTGCCATTGCTATTAAATTGCAATTATTAACTCTCCGTAAAGGCTTGCAATAACGTCCCCTACCCAAAGACTGGCTACCCCATTTTCAACCTAGCTACCTAATTTGTATATACTTTAAACAGTTATAACTTTATTAATTTAATTCTAATTAATTTTAAACTAATACTAATTAATTTAAAATACCTTCTTTTACTAAAAAAAACATAAGTACTGTGCTTTAAATAGTTATAAATAGTATATTAGTAAATAAAGCAGTAAAAGCTTATAGTATTAACTATTCCACGCTTTAAGGTTAAATTAAAGAAAGTATAATACTTAAAAAAGCCTAAAAACCTTACTAAAAGCTCTTTAATACTTAGGAAAAGCGTCTTTAAGACTAGATTATTATCTAAGCTAATTTAAAATAAGTTATATAAATATATTTTTTTTTTCTTCCTATTAGCCTTATAAGGCTATTAAGCTTTTAGCTTTTATATAAAGGCTTAAACAGTAAGGCCCTTATAGCAAGCCAGTATCTTAAAACTTAATATTAGTAAAGGTTTATCTGCCTTAGTAGTGAAATTAAATTACTGCTTTAATTAAGCAGTATAAATACTGCCTATAAGTCTATTACCCCTTAGCAGCTATATTAAGTCCCTTTCTTTATCCTACCCACAAGACTAAGATAATACCACAGCTAGTATATCTATTATAAAGTACATTCCCTGACCTAAATACCTATTAGTTACAGTTACTAATATTAATTATAACTACTAATACAATGCCTATACGCCGCAGCCTGCAGACTAATTAGGGCTATTATATAACTAACTATAACCTTATTAATATAATTAAACTAGTACTAAGGCAGGCTAATAGTAATAATTACTATAAGCTTTATATAATAGCTATAGCTATTATAAAGAACTTCTTATTAAGAAGCTATTTAGCCTAGTTAAGCTAGCTATCTTTAACTATACTTTAATTAACTTAATTAATTATATAAATTAGGCTTACCTTAGCTATTTAATAAATCTAATCTAGTTAGCTAGGAAGCTATATAAACTAAAAAACCTAGAAAAGGCTATAAGGGAAAGCTTGCTCCTTAATATAAATAGGGTAGCTTTTATTATAGTATTAATAGGTTCAGGCCTGTATAAAGAGTAACTAGTAAATGTAATTATTAAGGCTAAATGTATAGTCTACTTCCTTCTGCTTATACAGGATAAATATACAGACCAGGCTTATAGTCTAAGACTATAAGAGCAAAGGACAGCATATCTGCAAACAGAGTTAGATAAACGCGGGGTAATAGCAGGGTTCTGGGACCGAAGGTTTAAAGGAATTAGGTTAACTTTTGTGTAAGTTAGTTAGCAAAAGTCAAATTAACCTCTATTAATTAAATGCACGTGCCGAAGCACGTAACCAACCGACCTTGCGTCTAAGAACAGATAAGGTAATATTAGTAAAGAAGCAGTAGTTTAAACTAGGGATATAAATATATAGATTTATTTATTATAAAAACTCCTTACTTTATTATTCTTTTTTCTTTACCTTTATATAATAGTTAGGGTTTTAAACAGGGAAACTAGTCTATACTAGGTTTATATTTACAGATTGCATAGGGCATTATACTAAGCACGTTAGTTTAAAGTCACATCTCTTAATAGTTAATAGTATAGGTTAGGCTTATTAAGGTAAAGAAGTGTTATTAATAGCTAGTAAGCTAAGTTCTATCTAGTGCTAAATAAATATATATATATACCTGGGTAGGTCATAGTGCCGTGAGCCAGGCTTGCAGTGCGTTGTGAGTTAATATCGTGAGCTGCATTGCAAGGCTCACAATGTAAACAGGGTCTACCGGGAGTCAGAAGAATTAACCGGTGCTGTAACGGTTGCACAAGCCGTTTAGCCACAGGGCAAAAGATCGGGCCATAATCACTATACAAGCAATCATGGATGTGCTACAGCTGCCTATAGAAGCCTTACAGCGCTATTACGGGCACGAATCGTAATACAATGCTCCCTCTTTAGGGGCTTTTATCCTCGAAGCCTACTAAAGCTAGCTATTACAGGGGGAACCAAGCCCTATATATTGCTGTGCAGCTGCTAACCTCCTAAGGCATACCTTGCAGTGCCCCTCTGCATTATATAGGCACCCTTGTAAGCAGCTATACTAAAGGAAGGGGAAATTGAACCCTTGACCTTTAGGCTACCTGCTAATAGTAATTATTATGTAATAGTTATATAAGCTGTTAAGCTATAGGGTAAAAGATCAGGCTATAATTACTATGTAAGTAATTATAGATATGCTATAGCTGCTTATAAAAGCCTTACAGCGCTATTACGGGCACGAATTGTAATAAATATATACTAATCTTACTAATATTTTTATTATTTATAGAATTTATAATTAAATAAGTAAAATAGTTATATATTTAAAATAAGTTATTAAATAAGATTAAATAGCTAAAGTACTTAA